TCTTTAAAAAAGAAGGAAATCCTGCTATTTGTAAATGCTATTGATGAACCTGGAGAATATTATGTTAAGTGAAATAAGCCAGACACAGGAAAAACATTTTGTATGGTCTCAATTATATGTGGAATCTTAAAAAAAAATATGATGGTAACAGAGAGTAAATGGTGATTGCCAGGGGCTGGGATATAGGAGAAGTGCAGAGATACTCATTAAAGGTTACAAACTTCCAGTAACAGGATAAATAAGTTCTGGAGACCTAATTTACAGCACGGGGACTATAGTTAATAATAATGTATTATATACTTCAAATTTGCTAAGAGAGTAAATCTTTCTTTTTAAGATTTTATTTATTTATTTGAGAGAAAGCACAAACAGGGGGAGGGGCAGAAGGAGAGGGAAGAAGCAGACTCCTCAATGAGCCGGGAGCCTGACACAGGGCTCAATTCCAGGACCCTGGAATCATGACCTGAGCCAAAGTCAGACGCTTAACCAACTGAACCACCCAGGCACCCCTAAGAGAGTGAGTCTTAAGTGTTCTCATCACTTGAGAAATTGGTAATTATGTGAGTGATGTATATAGCTTGATTATGAATCATTTCACAGTGTATAAATATATCAAAACATCACGTTGTTTATGTTAAATATACACATTTTTAATTTGTCAATAATAATAAAGCTGGAAAAGAAAAAAAGACAAGCCACAAGTCCTGTTCACACTCAAGGGGAAGGGAACATCCTAGGGCATGAACATCCTAGGATCATGTGGTGCCCTAGACTGTCCAGCACAAACATTAATGACAATGAGGGAGGAAGGAACTTCATGGGAGTTGTACTTCTACTGTTGGAAGAAGAGGAACAGTTATTTTGGCAACTAGAGGGAGCCAACATGGATCTAAGGACCTAGTCTGCATTATGCTTTCAAATTTTCATTAAAGGGATTCTGCGACTTTTGTGTGTGTCTATGCATCTTCTTGTATGTCATTCTTTCTTTCCGCTTCCATCCGTAGTTGTTTTCTGTATTTTCCTGGTTAGATGAGGGAGAGATACAGAGATAGAGAGAGAGTTGGGGGAGAGATATTCATGTTTGACCAAGGTGTTTGTTGTGACAGACCTTCACATAGGCTGCTAGTCAGTCAATAGAATGGGTGCCCTGGAATGGTATATTAGCTGTAGCTGGCAGGAAGTGGTTTAACTGTTGCAGCTGGACCACTTTTGTTCAAGAACAGCTTAGGGTCTCTTCCACTAGAGCACATGATAGGGCATTTTTTCCTCAAGAAGGGATTAGGAAATGACATATACCAGTTATCCAGTGGTTATATAGAACTCAAAAGCTAATAAATAGCTAATTTATCATTTATTAATACTGTACTTCTTTCTAAAAAAGAGACTTTGTGGTAGTTTACAGTACAATATAATAAATACCAAGATAAGGAACCAAATAAGTGTAAATTGTGACATCGAAGAAAGGAGAAAACAAAGTGAATTGAAAAGGTGAAGTCAGAACATACATTATATACCATGAACATTTCCTAGACAGGTGCTAGAGATTTGGTTTTGAGTTTCTTCACAGCCAGAGGTGGAGGAAAACACAAAATGTCTATAAAAATTATTTGCCTACTAGGAAAAAGAATAGTTTTCTTCTATGGTATAATCATCATAAGAATGGCAACAATTTATTATGCACATTTGATTGCCAGATACTATATTTAATGTGTTAAGTATAAATCCTAAGATCACTTCTATTTCACTGGTGGGAAATTGGAGATTAAAGAGATTCAGTGCCTTTTTTAACGTCACAAGGTGAACAAGTGGTTGGACTTAGATCTCTTTGATTCCAAATCCATCATTTCTTCATTGCACACTGAAGGGCCGAGGGAGCCGTGCTGGAAGGTGATGGGGGAACCTACACCTATTGCTCACCTTGGCCTTTCCTGAACCTTTCCTGAGCCCTTCACACTGTCCCCTGCCTCATGCTGGTACCCCACAAATGCCAGACTTTGCTTCCACAGTTGTTCTTTGACTGTTTCTAACACTCTAGACAACTTTTGATTTGCTTCTTTCTTCAATTTCAGTTCTATATTGATCGAACTTGTATTAGATTAGTCGATTTTTTTTGATTTCTGTGATTTTATTCTTCTTTCACCAGATTTTTTTTGTTTTCTTCTGTTTCTTCTTTGACTCCCAAAAAATTGGAAGTAACTTTTCCCCCTATTTTTTCCTGGTTGTCACTGAGGCTTGTTGCTTTACATACTATTGTGAATAAGCAAAAATTGAGCATTTTTGTTTTCAAGTTACACAAAATCTGACCTTCTCCCATAGATTGTAATTTGCTCTTCAAAGAACAATCGGTAGGAAAATGGTAGGACTACTGTTGGCTTTGCCAGTCTTGTTTATAAAATGTGAAGACAACATTTATGTATTTTTTTTAAAGGGTGTCTATTTTTTATTTTATTTTTTTAAAGATTTAATTAATTTATTTGTCAGAGAGAGAGAGAGAGAGAGAGTGCATGAGGGCACAAGCAGGGGGAGTGGCAGGCAGAGGGAGATGCCGCACTTGATCCCAGGACCCTGGGATCATGACCTGAGCTGAAGGCAGATGTTTAACTGACTGAGCCACTCAGGTGTCCTTATGTATTTTGGTTTTAAGATTCCAGCATTTCCTGAGAAAATATTTACAACTGGTAAAGTAGAATTGAATTTGGTCAATGTTTTGCTAGTTGATAATTTTGATTCTGTTGTGGGGAGGAGAGGATTTAAGCTATTAAATGACATTATCCATCAGTCTGCCCTAATAAGGTGGTAAATATATGTCAGCAGAAGTTCATCAACATCCAAATGTAAGTGGACATTTGTGAAAAATGTATGATAATGGTTACTCAAACAATGTTTGTAAGAATAGTTAACACAAAGTAACAGTAAGCAGGGAGAATGTATTCGTTTCTTATTGCTGCATAACAAATTGTCCCAAAACTTAGTGGCTTAAAACAGCAAACATGTATTATCTTATTTTCTGTGGGTCAGGAATCTGGGCATGCCTTAGCTGGGTCCTAGGTGTCCTGGGCAATTAGGTGATGGCCAGGACTGCAGTGTCATCTGAAGACTTGACTAGGGCAGGGTATGCTTTCAAGCTCACCCTTATGTTTGTTGACAGGATTCAGTTCTTCATGGCTGTTGAACTGAGGGCCTTACTTCCTCCAAGGCTGTTGGCCAGAAGCTGATATCAGTTCCTTGCCACCTGGGCTTCTCTCTAGGGTAACTCTCCATATGGCAGCTGGTGACCCTCAGGGGAAGCAAGAGAGCAAGAGAGAGTGCTGCAGATGGAATCTAGTCTTTCTAAAACATAATCTCAAAAGTGATACCCCAGCACTGCTGTCTTACTTTATTCACTGAAAGCTAGTTAGTAAACTCAGCCCCCATAAAAGGCAAGGGAATTATAAAAAACAAGGGCATGGACACCAGGAGGGGATCACTGGGAGCCATCTCAGAGGTCTGCCTACCACAAAGAGTGAAACAAACATTAGAAGAAGGCTGCATAGTGTCACTTCACGTTATGGGACGGAGATGGGACTGACTACGAAGAAAAAGCAGCTGGCGCTCCAAGTTCAGAAATTAAGAATAGGGCCTTTCTTTTCCCAAAGCTTCAGACACAGGTTAAGAGATGGGGTAGGGGTGCCTGGGTGGCTCAGTCAGTTAAGCGTCTGCCTTTGGCTCAGGTCATGATCCCAGGGTCCTGGGATCAAGTCCCCCATCAGGCTCCCTGCTCAGCAGGGAGCCTGCTTCTCCTTCTCCCTCCACCTATCCCCCTGCTTGTGCTTTCTCACTCTCTGTCAAATAAATAAATAAAATCTTAAAAAAAATAAAGATGGGGTAAATAAGTATGTGGGATGGAAAGAACTAAGAACCACTAAAAGTAAAAACTTCAGACTCCTGAGTACTACTATAGTGGCATCAGCATTTACCATCAGGACCAGCATTGTAAGGGCAACTGGGAATGAAAAGAGCATTAACTTGGGAATCAGAATTTTGTCCGAATTCCAGCTCTTTTGTAAGTACTGGTAGATTCCCGCTCTTCGGAAAGTCATTTCAGTTCTTTGGGGTTTAGTTTCATTTCTTATAAAATGGGGATGGTAGCATCAAATATTACTAATTATATTTGTGAGGATGGTATTAGGAGCCATGATAGTTACATAATACTAGATGGCAACATTTCTACTGTGTCACTGTGGTGAAAACTAAGGATGTAAAATCTTTGCTTTTTGAATGACATTCTTCCTAATTACTTAGAAATTTTATTTTAGACGTTTTTGAAAGCACTTTCTGACTTAGACATAGATTTTAGTGTTTCACTATCATGCATATCTCAAAAGTAAAATATGAATGCAAAAATTCATTTAATTCCAAGGGGCTCTTTAAATTTTCTGTTGAACGCCTTTGAATCACTTTTCAACACAGAAGTGTCAATGCCCTATTTTGTTTTGACTTTTAATAATATGCTTCTCTTAATTCAATATATCAAAATATTATTTCCATATTTAATCAACATAAAACATTCTTAACAAGATGTTCTTTACATGAACTGTTAAACAGATTAGGGTTTTGCAAACCTGCGCTGTCTCCCTTACAGCACATCTCCAGGCACGAGCTCATAATACACGTGGTTGCCGTATTAGGGATTGCAGCCGCATTGCACATGCCTTTTTTAAAAAATTAAAAAAAAAAAATTAAAAGAAAATTTTCCCCTCCGCTCCCTAGCACATGCCTCTTAACAAATATTTTCTCTTTGGCTTTTTGCTCTACATTAGGATGACTGACTCAACGTGATGTCCCAATGAACTTTTTAACTATTACTTTGAATCGACCGTAGTAGCTTTGGAAGCCGCCCAAACACCAGCGAGGCCCTTGCATACCCTTGGGCTAGGTGACCTGAGCGAAAGCCGCCGGGGGCGGAGCCCATGGTGACGCGCGCCGGGACGCCGCAGGGCGGGGGGCGAGGCGGCGCGCTTCCGGAAGTGGCACTGACGTCGCTGTGCGTGCAGGCGGCTGCGTCGGGCTGCAGGAGAAGATGGCGGTCTCCACAGGTCGGTTCCCTGGTTGGGCTGCCTGCTTTCCCACTCCAGCCCGGCTTTGCCCCTCCACCTGCCACTGGCGGCCGGGCACTGACTGTGTGGGAGAATCCGGAGTGCGCCTTCTCGGACACCGGGCTCCCCGTGGAGCGAAGCCCGGGAGCGGGGAGGGGCCGGGCGGGCCGGCGCCCAGGGCCCGGGGCGGCCGTCGGGGGTGGCGGGTCGTGCTTGCGCGTCGGCCGCGCGTCCTCGGGCTGGGGGCGGGGTGGTTCTGGCGCGGGCGCACTCGCGGGGTCTGGCGGGTTCGGGTCCGATTGCTGAGCGGAAGACGGTGTGGGAGGGAGGAGAGGAGGCCCAAGGTGGGCGGTGTCAACCTCAGGCACGGAAGGATTTCGGGGTAAGGGGCGTCATGGATAGAGTGGGGCTTGCGTTCCCTTGGAACTGTTAATCTTTGTAATAACGGAGAAATGATGACTATTCTTACCTGACTGAATACGTGTTGTCTTTTTATTCGTTTAAATGCAAAACTGTAGGGCAAGTAAAATAAAAGCATAGAGCAAGTAAAAGCTAATTGAAGAAGTGGTTTCTCAGGCTGTTCAACTCTTCTCTCGTACTGAGTAAAGTGGTTTCTTATGAGCAGCACAGACTTTGAAATTAAATATTAACGCTGAGATTTTCGAAGCTTGACCATTTAAAAAATGTTAAAATGAAAATGTTAAGTTTTACTACTTAAACATACGTTTGATCTTTCATTTTTCCTAGTCATTATTGAAACCAGGTTATAGAACAGTGTGATTTAATAATTCATGCCATCATTGCATGAAAACGAATTTTTAAATCTATATTGTGCTGAAAAATGGAAGGTTGCAGTGTATGTTACTGGAACACCTCAGAATACATTCAAAATACATTTTAATGAAAAATTGTGTCTTTTAAGTCTCATCTTTATTTACAGATGTCATAGGTGATGAGATCTTTAACAGTTTTAGCGCTGAGAAATATACTTGAGGTCAGAACGAACTAGTAAAACAAGGATTATTTCAAAAATGAGGTTTTACTGTTAAGACTTTACTTGCTATTTGAAATCCAGTGTGCTTGTGAATGGGCCATATCTTTTTAAGAATTGTGCTTATTAATACCTATGGGTTCTTGAAAATTTAGTAATTTAATTTGATAGTTGTGAGTTATAGTAATTTGATAGTTATTAGTCATTTTGTAGGTTGCATTGTTTATTTAAACATGATTTTTTTCCCTAACATTATACGTATGAGAAAGTGTGGAAATATTTTGAAAAGACCAAATATTAGATGATGTTAATGGCAGATACTTTTAGTTAACTACTTTTAGTCATTTTTAAGGAAGTCAAATATAAATTATAAAGATGTTGCTGATTATTGGCATATTTCCTTATGCATACATCGGATGCCTGTGTTTTCTAGTTTATACTTCAGCATCACAATTGTTACATTTTCACTCTGTTTTTAGATTTATGAAATTTGAAGCCTTCGCATAATTAATAAGGATGTTATTTAGGCATTTGAGCTTTCTTAAATCACTGAAACTCATTTTGAAACTATTGCTAAAAACTTCCCCTGGTAAATTTCAGTATTATTCTACTTATTTTATGTGCTTTATTTATTGACAGTATTGTTGAACTGAGAGGGATATGAGCGCAGAAGCAGCTTTGGACATTTTAAATTATACTTTCTGTTAGTTATATTTTTGTATTCTTCTTAGTGGCATGGAAGGGAAACAGTATGTGTATATTGTGAAATAAATGATGTAACTTGAAATTTATTAAAATGAGATGAGCTAGATGGATGTAATAATGTACATGTTTTGGGGTGCCTGGCTGGCTCAGTCTGAGGAACATGGTTTTGATCTCGGGGTCTTGGGTTTGAGCCCCATTTTGGGTGGAGAGATTACAAAAAAAAAACTTTGTAAAAAATCATTTAAAAATGTACATAGACAAAGTAATCTTGGATAAAAATAGTTATTTGGTAGGACAAAAAGAAGGGACACGACAAATATTTTTTGATCTTTTCTAAGGAATTTTATTTATTTTTTATTTTTTTAAAGATATTTATTTGACAGAGAGAGAGAGCGAAGGAGGGAACACAAGCAGGGGGAGTGGGAGAGGGAGAAGCAGGCTTTCCACTGAGCAGGGAGTCCGGTGTGGGGCTTGATCACAGGACCCTGGGATCATGACCTGAGCCTAAGGCAGACGCTTAATGACTGAACCACCGAGGCGCCCCAGGAATTATATTTTAATGTGCATTATCTAAAGGTGCATTACCCTTCCTTTTACTAGAAGAAAAATTGGGGAGAAAAAAATTCTAATTAGAATGGGAACTCTTGGTCCTCTTATTTTGCAGATGAGAAAACTGAGGCCTAAAGAAATACAAGATTGTACATAGTGATGGAGTCAAGATTAGAATTTGGGGTTTTTTTTGTCCTCAGTTTAATGTTCTTTCTGTTATGAGGAACTGTGAATTTGGAATATTCCTCAATCATGAATCTTACTCCCTTTTATGCTTGAGAGTGACTTTCACACTTTTCTTTCTAGCAGAATCTTTGTTTTGGACTGTTAGATGCTTCTTATGAATGGAAATTGGGCTGTGGTGGAGACCCACTGGCTAGGTTCCCCTTTTCTAAGAGGCAGAGTCACCTCTGGGGGTCAAGAGGATTTCATAGGACATAGCTTAAGAAACACTACTTTAAGGAATAGAAATTTATTAATACATTTAGTAACTTTGATCAAAAATTTAATTAGATCCCTGCACTAAGAAAAGACGTGGATAAAAAAAGTATGTGCAGTACTTTAAAAAAAAATAAATTTTAAATTTTAGAACAGTTTTACAGAGAAGTTGTGAAGATAGTACATAACGATTGTACATTAGAGTACCTAATGTAGATTTTGTGTCTCAGGATCCCATCTGGGATACATTGTAATGTGAAACATTTTAAAATTTCATATTACTTAAGTTACACTAGTGTTACAGTGGCGTTCTAGTCTTTGAATGTAGATGGTTGTAAAATATCTTTAAGTAATGAGAAGCTCAGGAAAAAATGGAGTATTTTTTCTTTAATAGTGGGTCTGTGTAAGCCATATGGTTGAAAAATGAAACCAAAATAAAACTTACTAATTACCCTCTTCAGAAGTGGGTAGCATTGTGTATATGCGAACAAGAACTAGATTAGCAGTGTTTTAATTCCCCTGCCAGCCCTTGATAGATTACTGTGGCATGATAGGCATGCCACTGGATCTCTTAAGCCTTGCTTTCCCCATCCCTTCTATGAAAAGTTTGGACAACATGATTTTGTTTTCCCCATCTTCAAGATTAATGAGCAGAATTTGAGAGTAGTAATAGAAAAGATCTACATGTGTAGATCATAACATACAATCTGGGAACTAAACAGTAGGAGAGCCAAATTGCAGTAGTCTAGTACATTTCCCTCTTGAGACTTTATTACCTGGCCTGATAGGTTTTTCTGTGTCCATTAGGAACATGCATACCCTTGATACATGTTTGCTCTCGACAATATGATTGAATAATACAGCCTTACTATATAGGCAGTCATCCCTTTGTACAGTACTACAGAGTGGTAAAAATGACCATTCAAACTGAAACTGTTCAAGGCATTTTTTTAAAAGATTTTATTTTTTTGAGAGAGAGACCAAGAGACCAAGGGGGGCAGAGGGAGAGGGAGAGGGACAAGCAGACTCCCTGCTGAGCACAGAACCTGATGGGGCTTGATCCTAGGACCCCGAGATCATGACCTGAGCCAAAGTCAGATGCTTAACCAACTGAGCCACCCAGGTGCCCCCAAAGCAGTTTTATTAAGTAAGAAAAATTATTACTCTGTGACCTTTGAAAATGTTTGCTCAGACATTAAAAACTCTTCCTGTGGTTACAAGTGTATAGGAAAATGAAAAAGAAAATTGTAAAACTAGTATTCGCTTAGTACTTGAAATTAAACATGAGACATTAAGAATTAGAGTGTTTTATTTTTTAAAAAAACTTGTCAAGAGTATGGAACAGTGTTTCCTTTTTCTCATATAACTTAGGATGTGGAGCAAGCATCTTTTCTGTGCTTCGGTGAATTGTCATACTCACAAGTTGGAATCATTTCCAATATTTTATCCTTTGTGCTTTCAGTGTTAGGAAATAATCTGTGATTTTCTTTATTGTGAAGTGTTTTACTTTCTCTGGAACATTGTCATCCTTTTCTTAAATTACTTCCCTCATTTACATCCATAAGCTCACATTCACAAAGTTGATGTGGCTGCTCATCTAGAGTCTCCAACACTTTATGGTTGGGTATTTCTTCCATAACTACTTATATTTGATTCACATTTCACTTCACTGTTACCAGTTTTTGTTTCTTTGCTGCACTTTGTTTTCATTTCTTCGCTGTGCTTTGATTGCTTTGATCTTTGTTGGCTAATTTCCTTTATTGGCTATTTTTATAGAATGTCACATGGGTTGGGGTGCCTGGGTGACTCAGTTAAGTGTCTGCCTTTGGTTCAGGTCATGATCACAGGGTCCTATGATTGAGCCCCAAATCGGGCTCCCTGCTCGACCCAGAGTCTGCATCTCCCTCTCCCACTGCATCTCCCTCTCCCACTGCATCTCCCTCCCCCCCCCGCCCCGTGCTGTCTCTCTCATGCTGTCTTTCTCTCTCAAATAAATAAGTAAAATCTTAAAAAGAAAATAATGAGAATGTCACATGGGTTTACTACTGGCAGACAAGGAGGCAACACTACTATAAGCTTTGCTGTCTGTATGTGACTAACAAGTGTGCAATGACCCATCACCAACAGATGTGAAGTGATTGGCCACTGGTTACAATGCTCATCTATTTAGTGATTTGTGGACTGGGGAGCTAGCAGCAAAGTTTGTACTTAATGCAGTTACTCATAGTTAGTAGGCTGCTAATTGAAGCTTCAACCATGTTGTTGGGAGACTGGTGTTATTTAAACGATGCTAACTGAAAGTCAGGCAAATGGAAAC